TTTTACTATCTTATCTCATTTCAGTTACATCTCCCCCATGGCCCCCGTTTCAACATCGCTGACTCCCAACCCTAGCCTGCTAATGGCGATCATGACGACCTGCGAACTCCTTTTGCCACCTTCGGAGCCGTGGGTCATCCCCCAGCGGAAAGTCAACGTCTGGCGTGCCTTGGCTCAATCGTTAGGACAGGACAGTATATGCCTAGACACCGGCGCAGCAGAGGACCCGATGTCGCCTTGTGGGGATCCCTTTCTCTCCAGGCGAGTTTCTCCCTGCCTTCTAAAGTGCCTTTAATGCTATCCTAGCCCAGAGCCTCACTATCCTCCCCAGTTTTGATTCCTCCAACGCCTGGAGAGACGGAGTGAGCAGGCTAGATCCTGCACCCTCCGAGCCCACAGAGTTACATTTCCTCGGTTCGACCAATGCATCAATTTGCTTTCAGTTTGATTATACAATCACCCCCCGTCGAGAGGGGTAGTGAGGTAGTGCTACAGTCCAAGTTAGAATACCAAGCTAAGCAGTGGTGTAAGGCTGTCCTAAAGATCCTCGGCCCCACCACTACCAGACGGACCCCTTACTCCCTTCCCCGAGGCGTGTTTTTAATTGTGGCGACCGGCGTGGGCAGGCATCCCCTCTGGCCTGGTCGGAAGGGCCGTGCACTTTTGGCCGGCTGACACTGTTTACCCCCAACGTCACTCAAATTATCAATTGGAAGAAGACAAACATCACATCTAAATTGGCTAGACCTAAAAGAGATCTCAAGGATCTCATTGAGGATTGTGATGATGAAATTACTCATTGGTCACACTCAAAATCCGTCGCCTTTACCATTTTGTTGCCTTGGGTATCGGTGGCGAAGGCTCTAGGTGAATTGGGCTGTCTAGAGTGTTGGGTGGCTAAACAAGCAAATTTTACTTCGGCCGCGCTCTACGACCTCCTCACAGACGAGGAAATAACAAGGAAGGCGACACTCCAAAACAGAGCAGCAATAGATTTTCTATTGCTGCTCCATCATCATCACTGTGAGGAGTTTGAGGGCCTCTGCTGCCTGAACCTATCCTCTCGAGCCGAGGACGCCAGACATTCCATCAAGAGGCTGCAAGACCTTGTCCATCAGGTCAAGCAAGAAACCTCTGACTGGCTGGGGGACATTTTCAAGGGTTGGGGCCTCAGCGGGTGGGCCGGTTCCATAATAGAATCTGTTTGCAAGGTTGTTCTGAGTTAATTAGTACTTTTAGTTTTCATTATTTTGATCCGCGGTTTGGTCCAGAGACTAATGGTCAGAGATACCTCAGCATCTGTCAACCATGCCGCAGTCCCGTCGGACAAGCCCATTGAGCTGGAAGACCTCTCCTCGGAGGCCGAAGAAGCTACAGATGAGGAAGGGGCGACCGCACCGTCCTTCGACCACCCAGGGGCGGGCGGATTCCAGCTCGAAGAAAGCGAGGCCTGGCCGGACCAGCCGCGAGATCCTGAATTTTAAGTTTCTGTGGACTTCCCGTTCTTTTTATTTTATTTGTTAAGAAACGGGGAGATGTTGTAGTGTGTTTTTAAGTTTCTTGTTTTGTTCCCCCATTTTAGGTATTATTCTCTCCCTGTTCTTTGTAAGATGGTTCTTCCCCCTCCAGTTTTCCCGCCACAGAGTCTTTGGCAGTTATGTTACCACGGTTACCCCTGTCCCCCTTATTTGTCAATCTCTCAAGTTACATAACTGCTCCTCCCTTATCCCACCATATAAGTAAAGTTTTCCTCCTCCCTGGGCCCAGTCAATCACCCCCCACTCCTCCCTGCTTTCGAGAACATTCTTCTCTCTGGGGGTCATAGTTGGCTGGCGTCCCAGGGCCCCTCCTTATTGGATAAGTTCTTGTGTCAGTTTTCTTATGTACCTCCCCACATGTTCCCCTATTGGTTAGCTGGGCTTCCCCTCCCGTCTCCACCCCTTCCCTGTAAAACTCTGTCTTCCCCCCGTGTTCGGGGCCATTTTTGCTGTGGGTTTTTCCACCTGTTGGTTTGCCCTGTGCTGCCTGTGGGCTCTTCAATAAACCGACGTTTTACCCCCAGCAAGTGGTCGCCTCCTCTCTCGTCTCGTCCAGCGCGAACCCAAGTCCGCAATCCAGCCCAGCCCGAGGCCAGGACGCCAAGGGGGGCTGGCCTCAGATGCGCAGGGGCGTCGTCCGCTTTACCCCTTCAGCTAGCCGGACTTAGGGCCGTGTACGCCCTCGCGCACTGATGTTTTGCAAAAGTAGATTTCAGAAGCTCATTTTGCTTAGCGGAGGCCAAAATCACTTAGTCTTCTAGGTTTTGAATTTGTCATGTTTGCTTTACTAGGAAACACATCATTAGATTTTTGAAGCTGTATGTATAAAAAATTGCTACTTGGCCTTCATACAGCATTTTCAGCTTATGTGCTTTTTAATAGCACAATTGTTGTTTGACACAGTTACTGGTTGAAGTGGATTTTTAAAGTTATTCAATGAAATAAGTTAACATTAAAGTATTAAAATATTATTAAAAATTTCAACAATTGTATTAGTGTGAACTGTAAACTTTTTCAAAAATGGAAAATATTATGGTTTTTCCACTCTGTGTACTTTTAGAAAAGGCCTTTCATGTAATAATAATAAAGCTTGGTACTGTGGAGTATTGTTGATGGAGTTTAGATATAGAAAAGACAACTCTTTTTTCATTCATAACTCAGAATTTTATGGAGTCAACAACAGCAGTGATAAACTGTAAAAAGACCACGAGACATAAATCCAATTTAAATGCTCTGTCTTCTATAATTTCATTAGAAAAAGAAATAGATATAAAGTGAGGCTATGAGACTGTTTTCTATGGAAGTGTCTGCCATATAATCCTGTTTTCTAATGGTTTTGATTTTGCTGGAGTTTAAAATGCAAATAAATTCAGAAATCGTAGTCTTTAAAATTTCCACGCTGTGTATGCTCTAGATTGCTATAGCGCTGTACTCTCACTTTAAGCATTGTTGATGTGTCTTTTTTTGCCACATATTGAAGACTGAATTTTTACTTCATTGATTTGTACATGTTTCTGAGGAGAAACAAATACCAACCTTGTCACCAGTAATGGGGACAGGATTTGATATTTCTTGAAGACCTATTAAAATTAATATTCCCATTGCTATTGATGTCAGTGGAGTTAACTCTCAAACTTCAGTTTGAGACCAGCAGCTCCAGGCATGAGCTTAGATGGAGGCAGGGATGTAGTTCTTGGATAGAATACTCTATTCCTATACAGAAGGAGTAGTAAAGTTTTGGAAGCCAGCCAGGTCCAAACATTGTTGCTAAAACTATTAAATCAGACACCATAAATATTAAGGGCCAAAACATTATCGCTGCACATAAACAAAATTGCATACCCTGACAAATTTTACACACTTTGCTGAGAAGGAAGCCCTAAGATTTTAATTGAAAGGGAACCTCATGTTATACTGCTAAAAACTGGCAAAGAAAATGGTCCCTGAGAATGTTTGGTTTATCCTCTCAAATCCCTTCGTGACAGATTGTTCTTATGCTACAGCATTACCAGTTTGTATTGCTGGAGGAAAGTTTAATTGGTTCAGCTTCAGGAGCAATTAAATGGCAGAAAGTAATAATATCGTTAACATAGACTGTCAGCAAGTCCATGTGTTGTGTCTTTGTTTCCATGTTGATATTTTCAAGAACATGTACAAATGCAATGCTTTAATTTCGCTTCCAGTGCAGTCTCTCTGGTTTTGATTGTCACCTACACCAGGAGCAGAGGTCTGCCTATGGAGCTTGTTCTGACTGCACTGCTCACACTAATGCAAAGCTAATAATGATGGGGAAAGCACCACCAGTGTGTTGCTGTTCCATTTAAGAAGTCATTTTAAGGCTTTTTTGACTAATGGTCAGATCTGCTGCTCACATAAGTGAGCTCTGTGTTCCTGCGCTGCAAGCTCACTGGTCCTTTCCTCCCTCTTTCCACCTCTTCTACCCTATTTTTGCTTTTTCTTACATAACTTTTCTGTATGCAAGAACTGTCTACTGGAAGACTTTTTGGAGACTTCCAAGAATTACAGTGGAACACTCTTCTTGATGCTCCAAGGAAAATAATGAAAACTGGTTGTGTTGCAAACATTTTCTCCTGTTAAATTCCAGATGTTTGAAGACTGACTGAAGATCTTTTATTTTCCTTAAAAGCAGGTCCCACAAAATGGCTTTGGGAGAGATACAGGAGAAACTTCCTCTGCAAGAGGAAAAACCAAACAGAAAGCCCAAAATACTAAGCTTGTTTGTGCAGGAAATTCAGATGATCTCTATTTCACTCAGGTCAGCTCTCAGGAGTGTACAGGAAAACTGATAATTTACTAAAGGATTTCCTTTTGGATTTCCAGTGACCTGTTTGGTTACCACAGCAGTACTTTTTTGACCTGATGAACACTGGACATGACATTTTAGGGAGCAGGTGTTGGGATTTTTTGTGTATATTTTGTTTTGAATCCTGAAGAAATGTGGTGAGAGCTGATGTGTTGATTAAACTGAATTTGTAGAAACACTGCTAGAAATATGTGTTTATGAAATGTTTATGAAAGTATACAAAGAGTAGTGCATCAAAACAACCATACTGAAAGTTTTGCAGGAAAAAGAAACTTTATATTCTTTCCAATGTTGTTTAATATCTCTTGAGATAAAGTTACTTGCTCTGAGCACAACTCTCTGGAGCCTGGAAGCCTTCTTTCCTTCATGAAAGAAGTGGTATTTCATTTTGAAGGTTACTGCATTTATACCAGATGAGTTTTGAGCACAAAAGTTACTGCATTATCTACTGACATAATTTATTGTTTACTTGTAAAAGAGAGATGAAAAGCAGATCTCACAAGCAGTCCGAAAACGGATTTTATTTCAATTAGAAATCTTTCTGATGTTTTGTAGCAAACTTGTTTTAGATTAATTTGGATGAACCTTGATAGATTAATGAGTTAATTAGCGCCTTCCCTTTTTGCTTTTTGGTACAGGAATCAGGAGCTTAAAGACCTGGGAGAGCTTGCTCCTCACTGGGACAACATGCGCAAAAGTGTAATTGCTCACTGTGATCAGTTGCTGAGCATGTACCAGGACACTCTGGCAGAGCTTGGGAAGCATACAGGTGGGAATCTGTGATTTTATCTGGAACCTTTCAGAGCTTACTAGATTGTTAGCTATAAAATACTGGCATATTCAGTGGGAATAAAATACATAAAAATCTTAGAATCAAAGGATGGTTTGGATTGGAAGGGACCTTAAAGATTATCAAGTTCTAGCCCACCTGGACCAGGTTACTCAAACTCCCATCCAGCCTGGCCTTGAATACTTCCAGCAATGGGGCATCCCCAGCTCCTCTGGGCAGCCTGTTCCAGTGTCTCACCTCCCTCCACATTAAAGAATTTCTTCCTTATGTCTAATCCAGATCTCCTCATTTAAGTTTGAATCTCCTTGTCCTGTCATCACATGATCTTGTAGAAAGTCCCGCTCCAGCTTTTATTGTAAGCTCCCTCCAGGTACTGAGGCAGTAAGGTTGCAATTGCATCAGCCTGAAATCTCTTTCCCAAGCTGAACTGTTCCAATCAGCATCTCTGTGGCCTCCTCTGGACTCACTCCAGCAGGTCTGTGTCCCTCCTGCGCTGGGAGCCCAGAGCTGGATGCAGAGATCTTGGTCACAGAAAAGGAGAAATCCGATTTGAGTGTATTAAAAAAAACCAGTCTCTAACTGAAAGTCACCTTTTTGAAAGCAGTCGGTCAGCTGCTTAAATATTTGGTGGGGGAAAAAGCTCTTGTGTTGCACTAAATGTTGTATAATTATTTCCATTTTGTTGGCAGAAGTGACGTTTCTTGTATTTATGATTGTTTGTCATCATCAGAATATCCCAGTTCCAATTTTGGCATCTACTGTCTAGCCCAGTATGGCACTTCCTGATTCTGTTTTAAATAGTATCTATATGTATTTTCAATCTTTGCCTAATTAATCTTGAAAGCGCTCCATAAAGTGTCGTAAACAAGCCAATAAATACAGATAATGACAGATCCAATGTAATAATTATAACATTCAGGAAGATATTGAGGGGACATTTTGAGATTTTAAAAAACAGACAATATAATCTCTTAAACATAAACCCTGCAAGACCTGTGTTGTGCAAAGTGGCTTTCTAAAGGGTTTATAATGTTAAAGGACCCATCTTAATTGGGTCTTGAGAGAAATAATGTGGTCCTGGGAAACTGAGGTCATCCGGGAGGAGCAAATCAGCACATGTAAAAGAGAAAGGGACATTAATCAGAAAACAAAGCAGTCTAATACAAGATTGTATACAAGATCAGAAAAGCGAGCCAGACATAGATTTGATTTAATACTGTAGTTGAACAAATAGTTCCGTTGGGAGCACGTTGAAATTCAAGTACTTCTGAAGTAGAAATTGCTAAGATTAGGGATGTGAGTACAATTTTAATTCAGACTTTTCAGGTCAACATATTTCAAGGCATGCCAAAAACCATTTTGCTGTTCAGTGTAGCCAGTGCAGGTGTCTTTCTTCATCCTAAAACATCGCCTGAGTTTGTGTTGAATTGTTCAGAAGGGCAGATGGCACCTGCAAATAAAATTTCTCCAAAATATGCTCATGCTTCCCCAGCACAATAATCTCACGTTGGGCTTTTTGAGTGATACCCACTTGAACTCAACCAAACTATTTGGGAATTTAGTGGAGAAGGCTGTTAGTAGACCACCTAATTTCTTTTTGAAGTTGAGAGATTGCTGTGGAAGTATGAGGAAGCCACATTAGTGTTAGACAGCAATTTTGGTTTACCAGCATATTTATTGAAAATGGATGTTTAAGAAAGTTAAAACTATTTCAGATTTGAGTTGTTTTGGCAAACACTTTTATCCTCAGTTATGGGAGAATTTGAGAGAATGTAAAGCATTTTATTGTAAGGAAATATACCAGGAAGATATAAGTGTTAGGAAACAAAAAGCCCAGTAATTTCAGGTAACTCTAAAGCACAGATTTGGTGATATTGGGAGGGAGTGGAACTTTGAAAATTATTTGTTTGTTTCAATCTGCATCATGGGATTTCCTGTCTAATCTAAAATTTTGACTCCTGGCTGTGCTCTTCATCTGTATTAAATTATAATTTAAAGTTCCTAACTTAGGGAGCAGCCTGAGCATGCTTGGCTGGTCTGGAGCATCGTTGGTGCCCTCTGGCAGAGTGGTTTATATTGGGAGGCTCAGTGCTCAGTCCTGTGGCAGTTTCAACAGATAAACACTAGCAAGTCTTGATTGGGCAAGCAAAAAACAATTTAAAATATTTTCTTTATCTTTTTATGTGTTTGCTTCAAAAAAAGGCTGAACCTTGGCAAAACTTATTTAAAAATTCCATCTGAGTGAGAGGAATTTTAGTTCTAGTAATTAATAGTTGGCGAAATGATAGAATGTTGGAAAAGTGGCCTAGGTGAACGTTGGGCTGCCTGAGTTAGAAGACAAGGCCACCTCTCTTTCCTAATCTACACCCTTTTATTTTATACAGATTCTGTATTAAATGTGTTCAGGTAAATTATATTTTCATGCTGTCGGACTTTAATTATTTTTCTTTACGCTACCAAAAAACGACTCAAATTCTAATGTTTTGGAAATATACAGCCATATTAATTTGTTTTGTTTTGTTTTTCCAAGGCATCATGCCTCCTCTGAACAAATATATAGCTTTTCTTAAGATAGTTTGTGTTTCTTTATTTGACCTTTCTAGGAAGAACGCATAGCCTATTCAATACAATACTTTTCTTCAAAGAAAATAATCTTACTTGGAAAAATGCAGTGCCATCATAGCTCTGTAACCTCGCAGTTTTAGCACAGAATATACACAATGCACATTAACTGCTGCGTTGTCTCCAGCAGACTACAGACTGATTTCAGACAGCAGGGAAGAGTATCTGTCTCCCAGAATAAAACAGTTAGATTGCTCTGTGAATTAAATGCTGCTTTGCTGCTTCCAGTATGGATACATGCTGAGACTCAGTGAACATTTCATCTCCTAATATATAATTATCCATTGAAGGTAAATTAAAGACAACTCCTCACATACAAGTATTGTCTCCCTTTAAAAGGAATACAAAAACATCTGGGTGGTTAAGACAATGATTCTTTAAACTTTTGTTTTTCAGGTTCTTCCTTTAAATCAAGCTGTAGCAAAGGAGAAAAAACACTAGAATTCATCCCAATAAATCTTCATCTGCAAAGAATGCATGTGCATAGTCCTCGATTGAAAGGTAAAGAAATTCCCCAAGTATGACTAAGTGTGCTTTGAAACACAGTTTCACTGAAATCTAGAAATCACATCCAAAGTCAAAGCTCTGCAAGGAATTTCCCTGCCTCGTCTTCTGATGCCACAAGTTGTGGACAATTACTGCACATCTTGGAAAACTAGGGGCTGGTTAACTAAATTTCTTCCAAGTTCTTTTCTAAAAACAGATTCCAAGAATGTGCTCATGTTGTTCCTATGACACTTCAAGCAAATAAGTAAATGGAGAATATGTGCTATTTTGGCTCAGTGTTTAGTGAAAATACTGCAAGCTTCCAACATCTCCTGGAAAGGGGGATAACTTTCTCTAACATGGTCTGTGGTTCTTTTTAACACAGAATTCTGTTGTTGCCACTTGCATATGATTTTAGCAGCTTCCTTTACAGATCAAAGATCATATTGATACATATATATGACCAAATGGCACAGTGAATAATTTGTTGATCAATTGAGATCTGATAAATTTGCTGTAACTACAAACACAGAAATTACATTCTGATACGGTTTTTGCCTTATTAATACACTCTGCATCTAAGATTGTAAAACAGGAAATAAAAACAGTGGTAAATTTCCTGTTTTGTACTGTGTGAGTATACATCCACTTCTAAATTGGGACACAGGGACTTCCAATTATCTGTTAGATACTTGTTGGTTCAATATTTTGTTATTTGTTTTACTAAAAAACTGTGCCTCCAAATATTTCAACAAGATGGGGATTTATAGTGACATAATGTGATAACACAGATTTTAATTTAATGTTTTCAAGTTAATTAATTAACTGAAAAGGATTTTTAGGTTTGTAATGGGGGCCAGAAGCTTAACGTTGTCTTTTCAACAAAACCTCTTTGTGAACAGGACACTGTTCTATTTGCTAAATAAAAAGAGAATTTGAGTGAAATCTGTGACTTACTTAAGCACCCACAACTTTTACAGTACTGGAGTTTTGTTTTGCTTTTTAATGAATTTTCTCCCTTCTTCTCCAAAACCATTTTGCTTTGCACACATCATTAATTGATAATCAAAAAGAGTACAGGAAGAGATAAATGTTAGAATTGTTCTAGTTGTCTTCCAAATTTGGATCTTCAAATTATAAAACTCTGCCTCTGTTAGTTAACTGATGTTCTTCCCTGTGTCTTGTATTAGATATATGCAGGCTAAGCAGTTTGCAGCAATTGCTAATTGATCTGGAATAGGCAGCACTTCGATATGAAGTTGGTCTTTCTCAGCTCATGCTTTGCTTGGCATATATCAAAGGACACCTGGAATATAACCAGGAGAATGATACTGGAAGGGGAAGAATAAAAATTCATGGAGGTGGCATTTAAACAAGCTAATGATCCATGGAGGTGTCATTAGCCCTTACACTATCAGATATCTTAATTTTGGGAATGCAAGATAGGTTTTTATCCCATCTATTGTATATACACATTGGTATGTGGGTTTTTTTGTGTTTGACATGTATAATAATAGGTTTGCTTTTCCTGAACTTTTGTTTGGGTTGTCATTGAGTACTGAAATGGAAGAGAAAGTGTGCTTAAGCTTTCAGTAGGAGTAGCTTTGAGGAAAAATACTGTTTTCCTATGGGTCAATGGTATCCTTATCCATTTGATAAACCCCACATTGTGCTCTGTTCATCATACTAGAGAACTTAAATCTGTATATTGACATAGCTTTGCTTTTGTTTCTGTTTGCAATATGTGCTTGTTTTAAATAGATTTGGTGAACTGAAGTGGTTTTTGTTTTGCATCTGGCCAGTTTAAGACACTGACTGCCTCCTCCTCCTCCTTATTGTCAAGTATCAGTGGAGTCCTAATAGCTGAAGAATATGTATTAGTGATAATCTGTATAAAGACCTAAAAGAATGGGCTATTTAAGAACCTTGAGGCTCACCTTAGGCAAATGAAATTATGTCACTTCTCCTTTTAAGTGGATATTGAAGAGTCACCAACTCATTAGAGCTCAAATCAATTTGAGCAAATGTGTTCTGAGATTCAGCTCAGGAAGTAAGGCATAGTTCATTAACTGTGAATCATTTGTACAGTGCTCATGCTTCTGGGCATATTTATCATCACAATGCAAGTTCTATTTTAGGAGAGGTCTAGATTTTAATTTACATGGGAAACTTCTTTGAGGAATAAAACAGTTCTCAAAAAACATCCTGTAACGTTTCCTTTAGAAATGCATTTTAAAGATGAGGCATTCGGAACTGCACTTTTGTACCTCCAGTAAGTTCAGGTACAAAACAGGTACTTACTGTAAATGTAAATTTTTAAACTTAGAAAAAAATAGTTATGTGGTGTGGGATGTAATTAAATCTTCATCTCCACCCTGAGAATCAATCACAAGCTCTTTGAAAAATGATGTTTCACCTCCAGTTCTGTAAGCATATATCCACAAAAAGAATTCATCCCCTATGTCATAAGGCACCAGGTATATACAGAAAGAGACAACAGATTGTTTTCTCAGCAAGCATTTCATTAGTATGATTTATTTCCTATTCTGGTAGCTTCTCAACTGACTTTGTGTTTATAAACATATATAAGAAGTGTATATCCTAGAGCAGGGCTCACCAATTCAGCATTAAACACCATTATATCTGAAAGTACAGTAGCATTACATCCGAACAAATTCAAGCTAGAAAAGGAATAGGGATTTTTACTAGTCTAATTGACTTCTCTGGGAATGCAGTGAGTTTGTTGTCATTTGAAATCTTTTAATCAAGATTAGATGCCTAAACAAAGAGATGCCTTCACTCAACCAAGAGACAAGCTTGATGCAGGAATTATTAGCTGTGATTCAGTAGTCTCTATTATTCAGTCAGAATATTCCATCAAAATGGTCTCTTTTGACTCTAAAATGCTTGAACATGACTACAAGTTAAATAATGAAAGGGGCAATAGAGTGGAATACGCAATGGGCCAATTTACTTGTCAGCTTTGTAAACTGCAGAGCTGGAATATTCTTCTACTCAGTGGCACATAATTTACATATAGCCATAAATCAAATGAACTTTTTAAAGTGTGCAGTGGCTGTATAGAAAGATTGATTAGCTCTTGGGCCTTCTTGGGACATGGATTATCAATTATTCCCTGGAAATTATATAGACTTGTCCTTACTTTTTGTGGAATAGATGTCATAGTGTTTCCATGATTTAGGGATAGAAGCATTCAGATGTCTGTGTTCCTCTGTTCCCATTCCAGATGCTCTGTATGATGTTATCACTGTGGGAGCCCCAGAAGCACATTTCCAAGGATTTAAGAATGGTGGTCTCCGGAAACTGCTGAGTAAATTTGAGGCTGAAAGACGAAAGTAAGTATTCTTTCCAGCAGCTGGGAAAATACCATTAAGGTTGCATTAAAATGCTATAAGCTCACTGAATAACAAAACAGTTTATCCTGCTGAATGAATGGAAGATTAAAATCTGGTAGGATTGAACACTGCATTCATAAAATATTCCCCTTTTTTCCCCTGCTTTGATGAAAATTGAAACACGCTCTACTTCTTGTGTTAAGACCAATTTTGAGTAAACACAGGAAATTACCTCAAGCTGTGCTGCAGGGTGTTCAGGTTGGGAGGATTTCTTCATGTAAAGGGTTTTTGTGCATTGGGACTTGTGGTGGAGTCATCATCCCTGGAAGTGCTCAAGAAAAGGCAGGACTCGGCACTCGGTGCTGCGGTTTAGTTGATATGGGGGTTGTTCTGTCAAAGGTTGGACTCGATGATCTTGGAGGTCCTCTGCAACCTTAATGGTTCAAAATTATGATTTTTTTTCCTTGTATTTTAGGAAGCTGGAGGTATATCAGTACTTGAAAACCTGCTGTTCAGAATGAGCGATCTCTTTGGCAATTCTTGTGCTAAGAGGAATGTATCTGTAGACAATTTTTAAATACAGAAATTGTAACTTAAGGTAGCAGCTTTATTTCTGACAGGCCTGGGTGTATGCTAAGGTAGAAGTATTTTTAGTACGCTGTGAAAAAACAAACTACTCTTATTTTTCAGAAAGCCAAAATAAGACTAATCAAAAATAAAGGTTTCAGTTTATTGTGGAGCTCAAATGCTTTGTTCACTGTTGAACATGCGCCAAAGTGTTAGTCACATCTTTTCCTAAGAATTGGATGTATTTGTGTTTGTTGCTGTGGCTGTTCAGATTTTTTCAGTAGTTGTGACTGCTCAGTGCTCCAGCTGATGGTGCCAACTGCAGTGTTACAGCATTCCAAAGGGAAAGCAGGGAGGGAGTGCTCTGATCTAAATTACCATGACAGTCCACAGCAAATTAATTCCATTATAGTCAATGCTCAAAAAAGTTTCATGGATAAAATATCATAGAGAATAAAAGGGAAATTATTCAATTCTTCTGTTGACTTCTAGGTTGAATAGGAGCTGGCATTAATATTAACATCAAACAAAACCCAGCAGATCTAGTTGCTTTGAAAGCTGTATTATTGAGGGGGTCTTGCTTGCCCTACACAGTATAAAAACCCTGTTAAATCTTCAAAAAGCTTTCATTTCCCTGACCACCTCTGATGCTGAAACCTGCCAATGAAACACGTACATCTGTTGGAATCCATAAGGTTAGAGGGTTTTTAGGAAATGGTTAAAAAAGGTATAGGCCTCAGACTGAAGTTTTGTTAGCATTGCAAATGTAAGCAGAAAAGTTTCCCATACAAGCAGAAAAGTTTCCCAAGCAGTAGACGTGACAAATAACAATAGATCTCTGTAGAATTGGTTTTAGGATGGCAACAAGGTTATTTAATGTATATCTTTAGAAGGTTAGCATGAATAGAGCTCTGTTCATTGTCTCTTATGAACCAGTCTTTGTTTTAGCTACGATTACGTATACTTTGTGGGATTGGATAGAATGCTTGTCAATATGTGTTTTCTGTGTGTGATTGGCTGAATTCTAGATTGAGATGATTTTATGTATTGCTGTATGAGCCCTCTTGGGGGAGATTTTTTTTGGGGTGGATCAGTGAGCTGTCATGTCTCCTTCTTGTATTATGAGACTGATGTGCTGGAAATAAAATCAAAAAATCTCTTCACTGGTCTGTTTACAATGTTATCCATATTTGGATATTTTGCCGCGGCCTAGTGGGTTCCTTTTTTAAGACGTGGGTTCCTGACACAATTGGACTTATATCTACCCATCCCCCGACAAATGGTGCCCCGTCCGAGGACGTAGAATAGAAGAAAAAAGAAAAATCGTGGATGTACCAGCCACGGAGACCCAAGTGTTAACAAGGAGGACACTGTATCATCTCTCCCGCCGAAGCCAAGAAAATTGTAAGTAACTATTTCGGGAGAGCGCTTGGGTGACGTTGGGAGCAAATATAGAGAAAAAGAAAAATTATTAAAAGAACACAAAAATGGGAACGAATTTATCAAAAGTTGAATGGGATATTTTTCATCAATTAGAGACAATGTTACAAGAAAAAGGTCACTCTGAAATTTCAAAAACTGAGCTTAAAAACTTACTTATCTGGGTTAAGGCGAATACGCAAGATTTGAATTTGCAGTCTGCTTTTACTTTTCATTTTTGGGATCAGATAAACTGGAGAATCTATAATCTAGTTTCTCTCAAAAAAGATGAAAGCTTAAGAGAACTTTTGCCAATTTGTAGAGCTCTGTTGGAGTGTTTTAAACAAACTGATAATAATAAGATCAACTTGGACTCAGAAAACAAAGCTTCTGGCTCTGCCTCTTTAAATTCCAGTAAACCGGAGATTGCGTGTGTATCGGAGAATGTAACAAGTGTTGTTTCAAATGTTGACACTAATGCTTTGAACTCTGTTGAACAAAATCTTTCTTCTCTTTCGCTGGGAAAAAATGAGACTCTTTCGGACTTTTCTTCGCGTTGTTCTGTTAATGTAAAAATATGTGACTCTTGTAAGGGGAATGGGACAAAGTGTGTAAAAGATGAGAATGAAAAAGTGATTGTACTTCCTAAAATTGTTTGCACAGGGACACTGAAACCTGAATGGGATTCTGTTGGGCCTGGGGTGGAGGCTGAAGTGACTGCTTCCACTCGGGAAATTGCGGTTCCAGGGAACTCTTTTTCAGTTAAGCAAAAATATGGTTGTTCTGGTGGTTGTCAATCTAAAGATACAGAGAAAGAGAAACTGGTTTTAATTCAAAGGGTGGAGTCCTTTGAAAGGATGGATAACTCTCAAAAACCTGAAAAAACACGGGTTGAGTTTTTAAGATGCCATGATCCTAATTCTTGTACTTTAAAACAAAACAATGTAAGTTTAAAACCTGGATTTGGGGACTCCCAAGCTGAGTTTTTCTTGGCAGGGAGACAATGTGAAACTTGTAGTAAAGTATCGAACTCAAGGTTAAATGGCACTGTTCCCAGAAGAAAGGAACACGCCTCTGTCCTGGCCCCTTTGGGTCGGGCTTCAGAGGAGGCGTGTTGTTTGTGGGAGTCCACCCTCCCGGCCCCTTTGGGCCGGGCTTCGGAGGAGGCGTGTTGTTTGCGGGAGTCCACCCCTGCCTTTTATGGCCGAGTTCCCAGAACTGGCCGAGTTCCCAGAACTGGCCGAGTTCCCGGAGTTGGCAGAATTCCTGGACAAGAGTACAGTGTCCCTGTCAGGAATTTGGAAGTGACCAGAGTGCCTGAAAGGTTTGGATTTAGTGATTTTTCAGAATCAGAAAATGTATTGGTTAGAAGTAAAGGTCAATCTGTCATTGATCGAAGCGACAATTTTGATTTTCCATTGAATTTACCTGATTGGTCATACATTAATCGGAAACTAGAAAAAGATTCGGATTTAAGGGAACAATATCTTGCTTTACCAGTAAAATATGGAAGAAATGATAGAAATCCAAAATATGAAAGACTTGATCATCATGATATAAAGGAGTTGCGACAGGCTTTGAAAGAGAGTGGATTCTCTTCTTCCTATTTTAACAGTGTGTTGAAAAATACTTTTAACTCTTATGATTTAGTTCCTGCTGATTGCAGGAATGTGGCTTCTCTGATCTTAACCAATTCACAGTACCTACTATGGGAAATACAATGGAAAAAACTACTTAACAAGTTGGTTGAAGGATATGCAAATACTGATTATGCTAATCTAGATGTTGCTCAATTAGCTGGTGATTCACCTTACAATAGGCCTGAAAATCAAGCAGCTGAACTGCCTCGGCCTGTGTTAACAGACATTAAGGATGCTGCTAGAAAGGCCTTGCTTTCACTTGAGCCTGCTGGCTCACACTTGAATTCTTATCCACTGATCAGACAAGGTGAAACTGAATCTTATGGTTCCTTTTTGGATAGATTAACTCAAGCAGTTGAAAGGCAATGTCCAGATGAACAAGCCCGCTCTTATATCATTCAAAATCTTGCTTCTGTAAATGCTAATAATGAATGTAGAAAAATTATTTTAGCTTTGCCTGATCAGCCTCCAACAATTACACAGATGCTAACAGCTTGCAGTAGACTTGTGGGTTCACAAAATGCTGTAAATTCACAGGTCAATGCTTTGGAAAAAACACTGGAACACAATTTGACACAACGAATGGATAAAATTGAAAAGCTTTTAGAAAAACATTGGGAAAATTCTGTTAATGCTGTAAAAGTAGATTCTAATAAAAAGCCTGTCTGCTTTGGTTGTGGTAAATTAGGACACCTTAAAAAGGATTGTCGTGGGACATCAAATCAAATTTCTATTTGCCCTCGATGCCGAAAAGGAAGGCATCTTGCTAAATTCTGTCACTCACTATTTGATATCAATGGCAACCCCCTGTCTTTAAACTTCAGAAACAGCGCGTTCCACCGCGCTCAGACACAAATGGTGGCACCCACTGGCAATCAGATCTCAGACCAAGTGATGATGACACGTCAGCCATTTGTCTCTCAACCAGCACAACCTCGAATGATCCCAGCTCAGCAATTCCAAACACAAGGGTGGAATTGTGTTCCTCAAAACTAATTCATCTTTTAAATAATTTTTGCTGGGTGAATATTCCCACTGGGCTGATCAATTCTTGTCAACAAGGACAAGATTTTTTAATTTTGGGCAAAGCAAATAACAAATTACTGGGACTGTCAATCTTTCCTACTATTGTTTCAGTAAATCATAATGAGGAGCTGATGATTTTAGCTCTTGCATTTGATGTTCCTGTGGTAATTCCACCAAAAACACCTATTGCTATTGCATTTCTGACATCTGAAAATGGGTCTCCCAACATCTCAGATCCAGAGGTTTTCTGGGTGCAATGTTTGAATCGTGACCGTCCACAATTAACTTGTAGTCTGACTCACTGTGGTAGAACAATTCATGTTACAGGAATGCCTGATACTGGTGCAG